AGTCTCCTTTTTTTTTTTTTTTTTTGCTACGTAAAATTTCAAATTAAATTTATTGTTTAATATAAATTTTTTTGTCTGCCTATTTAATCCCCAACCGACGGATAAAAGAAACTACTAAGGAAACGTTTTTGAGATTTCAACGTTTAGTTTTGTTCCAAAATTGGTTTTTGAATCGTTAAAGAGATTAAAGACCAAGGGGGAAAAAAAAATGAGAAAAAGAAAACAAGGGAAACGGAAGAAATGTTTAAACAATTTTCTTTTCGTAAAGATTGAAATCACCTTATCGATGATGCCCCGTGGGTTAAGCGCATATATTCGCACCGTAGAATTCCTACCATCGTGTGGCATCACTCGTCGAGGGGTGGAAGACGAGTTATGTGCGTCAGGAAAAGGACAAAGAGAGAATTTCTTTGCTTTCACGATTAATTACGCCCTCATTCCCGCCCCAAGTGCGGCTCTTTCAGCGATGCAACGTCGATATTGACATTTGCCTTGCTTGCCTTTCTCTCTCATATCCTCTCTTTCTCTCTCTCTCTTTTTCTCCACAGACACAAACACGCACACATAGAGAGAGAGTAAGAGAGAGAGAGAGAGAGAGAGAGACATACAAACAAGCACATATATACATAAAGAGAGGACACGTATATGCACCAGTCATTCTTCTTCTTCTGCATTTTTTTCAACGGAGAGGAACAGCAATTGGAGGGGTGGCAGAGGTAGTAGAAGGGAAGAAGGTACACAGAGGAGAGAAAGATGTGCGAAAAAGGTGGCATGGGGGTGTGCCAAGGGAGAAAAAGTGAAAGAGATATATGAGAAAGAGAGAGAGAGAGAAAGAAAGATATAGAGAAGGAAGGAAAGAGGAAAAGAGAGAAGGGAGAAAGCGGGAGAGTATTATACGGGGATACACCCCTATCTTTGAAGCGTGTACTTATCGACTGCACCGACTACTACGCTTCTTTTTCCTCCGTAGTTCAGCAAGACAGACCGCTAAAGGAGAGCAGGTAGGTTGGTAGGTAAGGTAGGTTGGTAGGAATGCGTGTATAAGGGAATTAGACCATAATCGTCCACGCGTATGCCGCGAAGAAGGGGACGTTTAATTTTCCGCCTACCTTGGACCTCGATGTTCACTCGCTCGGGGTGCCACCTTCGTGACATACGTTTTTTCTCTCTTTCCAACTATCTCTCTTATTTTCCTTTTATCTTATTGATTATTTTTCATTTTTTTCTTCTACTAACCAATGATGCCCGCCGTTCAAATGTATGTCTCTATAAATTTTTCCATTTTATCTTCGACATCTTTTTCTTCTTCTTCTGCTTCATACGCAACAAATAAATTCTGTTTCTGTATTTTATTTTTTTTTTTTCTTAAAATGCTTTTATCGTTACATAATTGTTATTTATTTACAATATATTTTGATCGTCAATTTAAAAGATCAATACTATTTGCGACATATAGATGAGGTTTATTTGTTAAGTTCAAATTGATTATTAACAGGTCGTATGGACAAAAATAATTGTTAATATTTTACGATTCTCGTATTATGTTACGAAGGGTTTTCGTTATCGCTGAAAGTAATTTAATTTTAGGGGTAACCGGCAAAAAAAAAAATCAATTTTATTTTATTTCATGAGCGCCTGCGCTTGAGTACTTGATTTTTATTAAGTCGGGGGATTATCTTTCGCAGGATATGTCGGTAAAGAAGTTTCAGTCCTACCATTATTAAAAAACTTACTAGAGCTAATAAATGTTCCTAATGTCCGATTGTCGATGCCTTTTTGCGCCATCTACTGATAAATTAGTACGTCGGTATGAAGCTTCTTTCTCATGAAGTCGATAATGTAGGTTTCCATATGGTGATTTCAATGCTAGCAGAAAGTAAATGACTTACAATAGAAACTGTTACTTGTAAAAAAATATATTATTATTGTTTTCTTTTGCAAGTGCAGGTTATAATAAGTATTTAAAAAAAAAAAAAACATAGTTTTTCTGATGAAATATTTGTAATGTTTATTAACGATCACTATGTTTTATGAATAAATTATTTTGTTTATCGACCGAGTTTAAGTATACTACATGAAAACTGCCTTAATTTCGCAAGGTAAAGACATGTGGCGCATTGCACAACTTATTGTACTATTTATCAGACTATTTACGGAATATTAAAGAACTATTCCGTTTTACATTGTACCAAGCAACTAAGTACTGACCATAGTTAATGATGAAGTTCCTAGAGATTACAGAACAATTTTAATTCTCATAATATCCTTTTTTTTTTTTCTCTCAATATACACATACATGCTAATTTAAAGTACTTTCTCGGTTAAGAGTTAATCTAATGCGTTGGCCCTGGAAGACTATACTTTTATTACTGGTTCTATTGGACTTAACAAGATCAATTGAGGCGATATGGTTGCCTTGATTTTACGATAGTACGTTTTAACGATAATGATCTAAAAGGCAACTGTACGTGATGTTTCAGAAACAAGATCATTCTAGAACGTCAAATTAATTAAACATGTCTTATTGTTTTGCAGCACCTATATCACCTGCAGACAGGAGAGGGAGCGTTCAGGGAAAGAGGCAGGGGTCGAGGGAAGGGTACCACGAGGGTGAGTAAAATATATTTCAATTTATATTTTTGTTCCATTTATTACTAAGATAAAACGTTTACTTTACGTAAAAGGACTGCAGTTCTATAAAACTTCAAGATTTATTAAAAATAATCCACACATATTTTAAAAAGCCCTGCTACCTGTTTTTGGAGTACTAATTTTGGTCACATTTATCTCTACTTGGCTCTTAAAAAGGATGGATCGCATCTAGTAAAAACTTTTGTAATTTTAAGTACCACTATATATAACAAGAGGAATGTTTTCTCACAATGATATATATATACATATATATATATATGTATATATATATATCTCTGCAGGAGAAGAAACAAATAAAAGAATAGAGTATTTCAAAACGCGTGGAAGAAAAATTTTTAATCGAGCAAAGCCCTTTGCGATCTCGTCCGCGAGCTTTGAAAACAAGAGGTGGTGGCGCGACGTAAAAAAAGAAATCGTCTGAGAGGGAGAAAAAGGCGAGACGGAAAGATAAAAAAGGCAATGCGCGAAGTGCGATTCCGTAAACGATGCCGTTCAGGAAACATGCTTTTAAGCGATTTTTCTTGTCTGCAATCGTACTACTATGTCCCCTCCTTCCTTCGTCACCCTTTTTTACGAATCATTTTTTATGGCATCCCTTATCTTGATAATATATATATATGTATGTATATATTTTTAATCATAATTTCTAAGAACTCCCAAACAACATGCATTTATTTCTACGTAGATTCATTTGATTTTTCTACTTCCGATTAAAATATTTTGTAGAGAATTTTTTCAATGATAATATTTCTCAATTTTTAATGTGTATACATTTTTTTTTTTTTTTATAAATATTATATTAAATACGAATTATTTATTTGAAACTGTGCTTGTGAAAAATTCAAACTGTTGGATCGCTGTTGGATCTCGAAAAAGAAAGAAAGAAAAAAAAAAAAAAAAAGAAAACAATGTTATATCGTGAAAAGAATATAATGAAAAAATTATGACTCAACGTCGATTCGTTTCTTTTAAATATCTTGGATGTGGCTGTACAGAGTTTGAGAACTGATATTAAGCAAGATGGTATTGATCGACGTGTAGTGCGCCTGTCTGCGCTGCACCGCCATGTTTAAAATTGTCCTGTTTAAGCCTCCTAGTGGTTAAACCTACAACTATATCCTGGGTTTCTCGTTGCATTACCTAACGTAACGTTCTAAGAAGATATCATCACATTTTTTATGTTATTCATTTACACATTATTATTAAATAATCTTAACAAAAGCTTCATTTACATTTTAAAAATTGTTATTTATAATTTTACTTATGTCTAAACCATATTTTATACTTGTACAACTAATTAAATTTAAAAAAGCCATAACAAATAAAGAAAATCGTACTTGTCCAAAGTTTATATATGACTAGTATGATTAAATTTCTTCAATAATTATTACAAATAATTAGAAAATAAAAATAAATAAATAAAAAAAATAGTATTAATATTTTTAAAAGATAAAATAGAATTTTTCGCGTATTCTTAAAGTTAATGATTTTTTTGTTGTTTGCTTCTCTACTAGTGGTAGTTTATCGATTCCTTCTACAAAACAGTATACTTACTTTGTAGAAGCACCTGTGCTCACTTTATGCTTTACAATATTTCCCTTTTTTTTTTTTTTGAGAGAGAGATATATGTCATTATGCAAAGCATTTATTTCGAGAATGTGTTGGACTTTTACTGAAGAATAAAATATATATATATATTGCCTCTATTGTTTGTGTTTTATATCCTCTAGATAAGAACAAGTATATATTTTTCTGAACTGTGTCAAAGAGGTAATAAATAAACATAAGAGATAGATTCCTAGAAGAAAACAGCCAAGGGTTGTCTGGCGCCTACTCTTGAAATATCTATCTTCAGTTAAAAGATATATGATCTTCTCAAGCGAAGGACCACACGTGTGCATTTGTTTAAATATTCTTAAATAAACTATTCGAACACGCTCCACGATGAATAGGAAATTACCTCCATCTGTTCTGGAGCCTTTTTTATTTTTTTAAATTCTCTCGATTCATCAGAAGCATCTAAACGTTCAACGAATTTAAACACAAAACTCTTGTCAAATTGAATACAATCAATAAATCTATTAGTGTTCAAAAATTACGTGTTACTGCGATCATGTTATACGTGTAACACATAAACTTGATTAGTACGTGTAACGAATAACTCATGCTAGTTAACAACGTACGTACTCGTATTACATATACTTGTATCATTCAAACACCCTCATGATAGTGGACACTGTTATTTGTTGTTTTCTTTTTCATTTTAATTTTTCATGTATCAGGTAACACACTAGAAGACATCTGTTAATCGATAATGGTCTATCGTGACATGCTACTTTCTGTGAAAAGTTCCTTTGTCACATTACGAACGAATATTATCTTAACACTATAATAATCGTTTATAACATATTAGCGTCATTTTTGTTGACAATACTGACCGACTGACTTTTTTCCTATCTGTAATTATACACTGACAAAGACATTATAGTATTTTATGAGAACGATGTTTCTAAGAAAAACTCCGGTACATAATTACTTTCGTCAGAATTATGGGATATGAAAAAAAAAAATATGCAGTTTTCTATAAAAAAAAAAAAAAAAGGAAATGTGTATTACAAAAAGTACTTTACTTTGAATAGGACAACTGAACGAAAAGTAATTTGTTTTTTTTTTTTTATAAAATATAAAAGAGATAGAAAAAAATATTATGTTAAATTAGAAAATAACAATATCCACTAATATTTTCCATCATTTTTTAAATTTTGGTTAAATTTATTGAATCAAATGAATTAAATCTTGAATATTAAATTTCCATATTTTAAATCTTATTTTCTTTCTTTTACCTTCCTTCTTTCGTTATGATACACACGTACGCTCATCATGGTGTCGGCGGTAGCAAAATTGCATTAGGCAAGTATAAGAGGGGGTCGAGAAGGACGGACGACAAACGGGGCTGCTGAGTAGAAGGGGTAAGGGGTGGGTTGGACCACGCCATCTTGAACTCGCGAACAATGTGTCGCTTTACGAGTTTCTCTGACGGAAAACTGAAATAATCTTGCCGACGTGATTCTATATAAAATGACTAATTCTCTCTCTCTTTCTCTTTTTTTTTTTTTTCTTTTTTTTTATTCCTCTAAATATTTTTTCTAATAAGTAATTTTTAAAAATGTCCATAACATTTTTGTTATCTGCTCTTTGGTGGGATGTGTTTAGAAAAAAATGATAGAAAAAGTAGTCTACAATTGCTTATCATTACCGATATCTATTATCGAGTAAATTTAAGAGCATTTATGTTACTAAATCCGTTTCTTCCTCCTATCCTTCTCTCTCTCTCTCTCTCTCTCTCTCTCTCTCTTTCCCTATCTCCCTCGTTCGCGAACGATTAATGAGATTTTAATTACTAACCGATGACATCATAAATTGCGAACCATTAAGTTTCCACCCGTTATCGAAAATCCGTTCACCGTTTATCATCCTTTATAACATCGTAGGATTTTCTACATATACATATATGTACGTATACTTTCTATCTTTCCTAGTCAAATAATAGTAACCTATGACCTTTCTAACTATTCTCACAAATATCTAATTTACATTCATCATCTTAAACTATCAAAAGAGAAAAAAGATAAAAAGAAATAATAGTAGAAAAGAAGTCCAAAGTAACTTATGCGAGAGTCTCGGTTCAAGGGACCGCTTCGGGGCCTTCCAGTTATCTAATCTCCCGACGAATAGATAAGATAATTTCGGCTATTTTTCATTCCGTTTTCTGCGTTGGTAAGATAAATAAAGTCCCCATTTTGTTATTAATAGTAATAACTTCTCTTTATACATTTGAATTCTCTCTTTGGAATTTTATTACCGTATCTATCATTGTGTACGGTAAGTGCCGTTTCTCGTGATATGCAACTAAGATTAGACGATCACCGTCCTACGATAATTTCTAGAATAATGGACAATTTTGTGTATTCGACTTTAAATACGTTTGCATAATTTCTTCGTATAAGATATTCATAAAGACGAGGATCGAAGATCACGACCGTATTCTTTGATTATTTTTTGTAATTGAAAACCTAAGCTATTTTGAATTGTTTCGTAACGTTGGATAAAATGTCGATTGAATTCTTTTTCAAAAAAAAAAAAAAAAAAAAAATGTTCATACTTCTCGTGCAATAACTAACAAAACTTGAAGAATGTGCAATGAAAATGTATATACTCTTCGTTTTTATTTTTCTTTTTTTTTATTATGTTAAATGTTACTCGTACCGAAAGAATTGTTTAAAAATATGATCTACTTTGTAGAACAACAACTCGAAGCTAAGTGTACGGTTGCTTTATAGAGGTGAACACGACTAGCTATTAAAGGGTTACTCGGTTTCCTAGAAAGAGGGTTGGCACAGAGCGGATTTGAGAGCGGCTAAAAGGGTGTTATTCGCCAGTGGCAATGCGCTCGGCAACTTGTTGCAGCGACGTTAATAAACGAAGTCCCGAGGAATGATCTCGTTTGAAGGATATCTGCTTCGATCCTTTACCTTCGTATATTCCAGTCACGGAAAGCGAGCCACTTAAGAGAATGAGGTAGGAAGGGAAGGTATTAGAATAGGAAGGAGAATTTTATCGTCCCTCGACATCACGTCTTATCACTTTGCTTTTCGTTTTCTGCTACTCCTTACAAGTGCTATCAAACTGAATACAAACGATACTGGGTATTTATTCAAATGTTAACTTTTGGGATCCTATCTTTCTTAAGCATTTGCATTATTTTATTGTTCAAGAGATAACCATCGAATAATAAACATGATTTGTGTAATCATTTTAATCGTCATTTAAAGTACAATCTTTGATGTTTAGGAAAGGCAATCAAGACAATCTCTGAATTCATTGAAAGAGATATGATCGTATAGATATTATCAATGACAACATTAAAATAATAACAACAACAACAACACATTCACAAA